ACGTACTCCCTTAGTGTACATTCCGTGCGTATTACGGATACATCACCCGTGGGTATTGGTGCCGTTCTGGAGCAGGTAGGTAGACTAAATATCCGTGTTTCACGCAAACTTATTGTTACTAAGCAAGGTTATTCACAAACTCAGCGAGAAGCATTAGCTGCGTTTTGGGATGTTAAAAGACTCCATAAATATTTGTTCGGAAAGAAATTCACTATAGTTACTGATCATAAAGCTTTAAAGTTTATTTATCATCCTGAAAAATCCTTAGCACGTTCCTCAGCTGCTGTGGTTCAGCGCTGGAGTATTGTTTTGAGTGAATATGACTATACGGTTCAGCACAGGAGTGCCAAAAAATTAAACATGTTGACTGCATTTCTCGACCATCATTATAAGATGGACCTGGTAATACTCCAAACTGTTTGTTAGTGCAACCTTTGCCAGTGAGACGTCCAGATATCATTGGGGAAACTCATAGATACTTTGGATGAATGCTGTATGCTATATGGAAAGTTGGAATCCAAATCTGAAAGGTAGATTTCCTGTCTATTTTTCAAAGCATGATGAGCTATCCAATACTCCTGATGGTATTTTGTGTTTAAATGATTGTGTTGTTATTCCTCTTTCATTGCGTAAATCTGTCCTTGAAGATCTTCATAGTGGTCATCTAGGTGTTGAGAAAATGAAGTCCTTAGCAAGGCTTACATGTTGGTGGCCAGAGATAAATGCAAATATATGTCGTACAGCAAACAATTGTGAAAAGTCTCATAGGTCGAAAAATCAGCATTCGAAGTGGACTCCATGGCTAGTATCTTCTGAGGCCTGGCAGAGGGTTCATGCAGACTATTGTGGTCCGTTTCATAGCAAATGATATGCAGTTGTGTATAGTATTCTAATTATAGTATGAATTAGGAATTCCAGGAATAACGCAATTGAATTAAGAAGACACAGGCACAACGAATGTACTGTATTTAGGATTCGAAATCGAGCATTCAACCAGTACCAAAGAATCATTAGTTAATTCAAACACCACATCCGCCACAGCTTAAATAGAAGTATAAGTGTAATCGGTTGTACGTCTTCTTGTTAAGTTCATCCTGAGTCTGTCCGACATTGTATAAGATAAAAACTTTGTAGTATCTAGAAAGTGCTCATTAGTATTGGAATTAACAAACGAAATCGGAACAGACTCACCTGGGATTGCATACAACCAGCATGTCGGTTTTGTACTGAAATCATTAATATCTAGAATTCGAACCATAGATTTTTCAACACTATCCCCCCCCCACGAAATAATGTTGGATCTTTATACTCCCAAGTTATGAATAATGTGGCTTCATTTAAAACATATTTCTCACATTGTTTAGAGTAAACATTAGAACTGTTTTTGTGATAAGAGTAAACAGCAGTTGATATGAAATCATCCGAAATATAATAAAACTCGAGGTCACTTAGTACTCGTGCTTCGCATTGAGCAGGTTTTCCGCAAGGATCAAATACATTATGAGGATAAGTAATATATGATATGACATCAGGATTTGATTCTTCTGAAATATTCCCATGAAATTCATTAGGACTGTCATTGCAGAGCGTAGGATCGTTAGAAAAATCAGCATCTATCCAAACCACATCAGGTTTTCGATCATGATTAGGTTCATTTAACATATTTTCCTCAGAATTGCAAGTAATTTCATTAGGAATATGTGAATCATTAGGAAAAGTCATACTTGATACAATAGCATGAGAATTCTGATAAATCGGTTGATTAGGAAATGTTGTCTCACAAGAATTCTGGATTTCATTTAACTCTGAACTGCCATATGACTCTGCACTGTCTTTTGAAATCGTTGATAAAGATAAATGATCATCATGAATACTCGACTCAGTAGAATCAGAATTACAAGACTTAATATTAATTGTAGTAAGATGAACAGTAGTATTACAAACTGACTGAACTTGTCCAATATCACGACATTTGAAGCATTTAGAATTATGAAATTTACATGAATTAGAAGAGTGGAACTTGCAACAGGACAAACACTGACCAAACTTGTCCCCATCCTCGTGAACTGCATCCAAATTCAATGAATTGTCTGCATAACCTTGAGTATGCACTAGGTTGAGATGACGTAGTAATGTAGTGGACTTTTTTATATCCTCATGAATCATTTTACGAAATCTTCCTCCTTTACGACATTTGAAATTTGTATACTGAGCATAGTCTAGCAGTAGATCCTTGAGAGCTGTATAAGAAAGCGAAATGGGTTTTTCCGGCATAGCCAGAGTTCTTAATAAGCTGTATGCTTCTTTTCCAATGAATGTGAGGAAGTGTGCCACAATATTAACATGCTCATCATCTTCCTTGGTCATAGCCCAGATTTCGAACCTTTCAAAGTAATCTTCAAAAGCTTCCGAAGTTGAATGAATATCTAACTTTTCCATTGCAGGCTCCTTCGCGACGCCAATATAGTATTCTAATTATAGTATGAATTAGGAATTCCAGGAATAACGCAATTGAATTAAGAAGACACAGGCACAACGAATGTACTGTATTTAGGATTCGAAATCGAGCATTCAACCAGTACCAAAGAATCATTAGTTAATTCAAACACCACATTGTGGTCATTGATTCTTTTTCAAAGTGGCCTGATGATTTTTTCACAACTTCACCAATTGTGATTTCTCAGTCCAAGCCTTAAGAAAGGTGTTTAGTCGAGAAGGTATTCCCATGGTGTTAGTAACCGATAATGGCTCTCATTTCGCTGCAGATACAGTCACTACCTGGTTGAATGATATAGGGTGCAAATATTTGTTTACTGCTCTCAGACATCCTTGTTCTAATGGTCAGGCAGGAAATGTTGTCAGGACATTGGAAAGTGCTATTGATTCTATTGCCGCCTCAACATTTAATGAGCTGGAGAGGGGAGTAGATAGTTTTCTACTGTAATATAGAAATGCCAGAACTTCTGTTACGGAGGAGATTCCATCAAAGCTACCAAAAGATAGAATTCTCTGGTCGAATATGAGATGTTTGGAGTCTGCAGAAATTACATATTATCGTGGAAATGATCTTCGACCATCCACAGGAATTGTGCTAAAGAATGTCGAGAAATCTGTGGTGCGACTTCTAGATATCAAGGACTAAAGTACAAACAATGGACATGTTGATCAAATACAATTCCAGTAACCAGATGAGTCTGTTCGGATTTCAGATGTTAACTCTGATGCTAATGAGTACATTCTAGATAATACAGAGTCCTTATCCAATACACTGTCTGACAGATACAGAATGAACCTGAGAAGACGTACAATCGATTACACACATTTAGACTCCAATTTAAGCTGTGGCGGGTGTGGTGTTTGAATAAATTAATGATTCCTTTGTACTTGTTGAATTCTTGATTTCGAATTACAAATATAGTACATTCGTCAGTGCTTATCTAGTACTTCTTGATCCAATTGTGTTATTTCTGGGATTCTTAGTTCGCACCATAGTTCAAATACCCCCAATTATCATACATACCTATAGATGGCTCCACCATTGTGGTGCCATTTCGATTTGCATAGTCCACTGGTAAAACCGCGGGCTTTATCTTCCTCGATCCCCAAATTTTATCGTTCTGCGATCCATCTGAAAACACAAATTCTGGATGACAGGTGACACCGGCGTTCCCTATACTGGTGCTGTTTAAGGTTCGGTACCTTCCGGCATGTTTAAGTTATAACTAATTTAATCTCTTTCCAGTTGCTCTTCATAGTAATGTCCACTTCTGTGAGTAAACCATGACAAACTTGGAACTTATTGTTAAGAGCTATATTAAATTGAGCGAGTTTGTCAGTAACTAAAAGAAAATCTGTGTTAAGTTTCTGCAATGATGTTTTCCGGCTATCAAGTGCATTTCTACCTTCAGTCTCAATTTGTCAGTAGCAGGTGGTGATCTGGAAATGTATCGGCTCCTCATTTCGTTTTCATGTATTCTATAGACCTGAGATTAGATGGTGGTTGGAGGTAGTCAACAGGGAACTCTGGAGCCGGGTTTCGTGCTACTTGACACTCGTCAACATGGTATGTCTGTAATCTTGAGGGAACTAGTGCTCCCTGGCGGATTTGATCCTGTGTCACCCAGCTTCACAGTCAGAGATGTTACCACTGAGCTATCCAGGCCTCCTGGAGGACTGAGATGTAATCACAATTGATTGATCACTGGGTGGTGATCAATGTCATGTGTGTCAAGTCCTTATTTAGTGCAGACTGAATAACACGGTATCTCCATGAACGTTGAGAAGTGCAAATTTGGGATGTGATACTATTCCCAGGTCACATGGTAACTTCTCAGACCACCATATCAGTCTGGGCAGACGTTGCTGCTATCCTAACATATCTTTCACCCCAGTCAAGGAAGAACTTGTGACGATTTCGATGGCTAATAAATTAATAAAAACGATTTATCCAGAAATGTGCAACAGTATTACCAACACTGACAGACATACTGCGAGGACTCACCCGTTGCATGGACACTCTGTGTAGCTATTTTTGTTATTGTTCTGGCCGTAAGAAGAAGCACTGATTTCAATATTTCCGAATAATTTCGTCTTTAGCTGCGATACATTATAACTCTACCAGAAGAATACTCTTCAAACTGCAGTCAGTCGATCAAATGGATGAAATGACTTTTTCTGCTAGGCGTTTTTTATCGAGGCTGCTTTCTGATGCTGATATTGCCAACCCCAAGCTCAGCCCTCCTCTTTTGTCCAGATATAGGGCTGATAGTATCTCTGGAGAGGCCCCAGAATGAGTTTATCTGAAATCTTGTTTCCTTTCAAATTCAATAAGAAATATGCTCTCTAGTAACGTAGATCACAACTTTAGGTGTCCTCATTGACCTGAAACCACTTTACGACACCAAGATGTAAGTTTAAACAAGCGAGTATTATATATTAGCTCATTGTAAATATGTATTGGATATTGGATGGGTGTTGTTTAAATTGTGTGATGTGTGACAGTTGAGTTGCGTGTGGCACAGGTAAGGAATGGTGAGTCGTATTCATGGGTTGTACTAGTTGCGTCTTGAAGGTTTAGTTTCGAAGATGCAGACTTAGTTACTTCGGGTAAGTCGTATGAGTTCTCTCGTGGTCAAGTAATCTCTCTCAGAACTTTTGTGAACAGTTTTGGATTACTCAGAATTCGTATGTAGGAATCACTTTGAGCGTCATACATTGGTTTAATTTGGGCTAACTGATTCGTACCACCATGGTGCCAGTCTCATAACTAGTACTGAGTCGGTGACTTACAATAATAGTCAGCAAGAACGATCTAAGACAATAAAAAATTTGCGCTCATCTTCGAAGACTTGCTTTAATCACGTTTCATCTAAGTGTGCACACATTCTGTGGGTGCATAACTGAGGCTAACTGTCTGAATAACTAGTTTGGATAGTGACTTAATGTCAGTCTATGTAAGAGATAAAATCTTTATCCTCGTCATTGGGATGTAAAATCTTTCCGTCGTGGGAACAATTCCATTTTTGGTACTGCCTAGCTCAGAACGCTTAAACACGCTTAGTTTTATTTGCTCGAATAAAACTTAATGCAGTATCTGTATCCTAAAAGCCCAATCTGCAACCAAACGGTTATTTACAGGCGGCTTATCAAAAAGGTTGCCAGTCTAATTTGGAATTCATATTGAGTTTTTTAAACTGTCCATTCTCTAGGTAATCAAGCGTCCTTTTTTTCCAGGTTACTGCTTCCACCCATGGTGAACTTCACAAGGTTTGTAGAGGCTGGGCGTGTTGTATTCATTGCCTCTGGACCTTATGCTAAAAAGGTGGCAATCATCGTAGAAATTATTGACCAAAGACGTGTTCTTATCGATGGGCCATGCTCCGGCGTTCCTAGACAAGAAATAAGTATAAACAGACTGCATTTAACAAAATTAAAGTACAAACTTCCACATGGATGTGGTACAAATTCAGTCGAGAGACATTGGAAAAGGTACGACATAACTAAGGATTGGGAGAACACTGTGTGGGCACGAAAGCTTCATCGCAAATCCCTGCGAGCGTCTATGACCGATTTTGACAGGTTTAAAGTCATGGTAGCTCGTAAACAGGTGAGTCGACAACTATTATGATGAGATTTTGGAAGAGCCGTCTGTGCTTCTTGATGATTTCAATTTACTGACAAGTTGTATCTGTATAACTAACTACATTTTATTTCTCTTGCAGCGCAACAACATTTTGAAACAATTCAAGTTGAAAAAGCCGGTCGAGAAAACTTCAAAGCCTGTAAAGAAGGCTGTAAAAAAGTAAACTAATAAATACGTTATGTCGAATTCTCTTTGTTGTCGGCTTCGTTTCCCGTTATTCATTTCTTCCCGCATCTTGGGTTAACCCTTATATACTGCTTGTAGCCCAATTCGCTAGGCAAATATCCAGTGATTCTTTGAGACCCGTACGGTAGGTCAGTTCGAAGGACGCCTATGTTTTCCATTCGTAATTAGAAAAAGCCACTCAACATCAATTGCTAATACTAATCGCGTCAGATTGTTCCACTTACTAGGAACGACTTCACAAAAACATCGCGAGACGTTTTTGTGCTTGGTATTATGATAAATCTAGTTGGGCCGGGTCATTGTCTCAAGATCTCAGCTGAGACTACTGTACGTTACATAGTTTAGCGGTCCGCTCCAGGGTTATATCTACGATTTTTAGTAGCAGGTTGGTGCCTCGAGGTGTAGGCGATCTGTATGATTTCTTATAAAGTTAGTGGATGAACCCAGACCGTTTTTCCGGAAAACTGATTCAGTCGTACCAGGGGCTTCTACAGCAGTGGTGATAATTAAGATTCCGTAAAACAATCCTTCGATAGTATCTCTTGAACTCAAAGTTCCTGAAGAGTTCTGTATGGTGCCGCACAGCTTGCAATCTAGGTTTCGCCTTTTACCCATCAAGCCTGGGTCGGTATCCATGTTCGGGGGATATCTATTGCAGCTTGGATAGGTCCTCGTCTATCACGTCTTCGGAGCATCCCTGGCAGCCGTCAATCGTCGGTTAAGACACTGCATGCACAAGATTGGCCATGAAGTAGTTTGCTCGAAGAGGACCGGGCGGTGGACCCCTAGACTTCATACTGCCTGTGGAACTCATTATTAAATATAAACCAGACATTGAATGTACATCTTAGGAGTAACTCCTTTAGATAGTGTTTTGGAACACCAGTATCGAGGGTGTTGTTCTCAATGTCATTACATTACGTTGAAGGGGCATTGGTGAGAAGTGAAATTATACCTAATGATGTGATTCCCATTGTGGTTACATTAACATCAGTAATTGAATTGAATAAGTTGGATTAGTCGGGTGTTCTTTATTTGTTGAGCTGATTTACAACAGGTTATCCACGCTGAACTGTCTTCAATTATTCTTTAGTAAACACCATGGGTTACTTTCTACATCTTATAACACATGGTTGTCAAAATTGCAAGTGATTGTGGAGTATGGCGAGTTCAACCCGTTACTCTGGGACCGTAGTGCTAAAATGATGTCAAAATAGGAAACTGGGAGTTGTTCAGTTAAGAAATTGCTTGGTTGAAGTCCTAAGTATGATACAACTCGGTGGCTTGAGACTTCGTCATACGTGAGTCAGAATAAAAGCCGATGGCAGCCCTGCTGAAACTTTCTCCATATAAATGAGAGGCACTTATGTGACTGGAAGTATTCGCTCAAATTGTATTCACACTAACTGAACCGCTCCCACTACTATTTCCACTCACGCCAACTCATCCTTTGTAATGGGGCATAGCAGGTAGGTTGATTTGCGTTAACTCTTGTAAAAAGCACCTCATTGTAGATCCTACTTTCTTTTAGGTGTTTGCTAACTGGGTAGATACTACCTGCTTGCGCTAGACGTTCCAGTCGTTTATGACTCGGTGAAAAAGCAGGAATCCCGAATCGAGTTTCCTGTCATGATTTATGAACGCTTTTTGATAACCTCAGAAGTTGTTATTCTTAAAAGGAACCAGAACAATGAAACATGTTAACACCCCGGACAATACTTAAGATCTGGATGTGTATGTCCATTCCTAATTCACATTAACGGACAGTTGTCCATCATTTGAAGGGATGATCGTCGGTTCCGATCGTTTGTGAAAAAAAACCCAACACAACTAAGATAGTATATTTAATTGCCCGGAACATAAAACTAGTTAATCTCGTAAAAACAAGCAAATGTAGTGAGTATTCCGCATAACAAGTGGTATATGAAAATCACACATGACGACGAACATTGGTGTTTAACGCCGAAGTATTAGCTACTTCAGAAAAAGATCTCGACTCAAACCATCTTCTTTTGTTCGTATAAAAACATAATTCATTTTGAGATCATTAGTAGCTCCAACACTAAATGTTACATTGGATGCGATTTCTATAATTCAGCCAACCATCGTTCCAGTCAACTAATAGGATTATTTAGATTTATCTACTACCACTTCTAAGATCTTCAGTTGCGTTCTTAGAAAACCTAGCAGATTTGAAATTTGTGAGTTGATTAAAACTTTACTTACCATAATCCAATATTAACTATACACACTGGCTTAATAATTTTCCTCAGCCCTGTAAATTGTAAAGCTCTTCAGAAGTGTAAATGAATGTCAAACAAAATTTACAGTTTACTTAGTCATATTTAATCAGATCCAATCGATCGTGGGGACCATCTCAGATAACATCATACTGGCTATCCGTTAAATATGGTTTAATTTCCATTTAAGAGCAGTATAAATCTAACCGAGGAAGTCAATGTTCATCTTTAATCACATAAGGACTGACCATCTACTCGGTTCTGACACGTTCAGGACAGCCATACGGAAAACAATATGATAGCCGGAATACTTTCAGCACCCATATGAAAGTTCTTAACAAAATCTACACATTTGTGGAATGACAAATCTTCATTGCCCACCTACGCCAATATCTTTACTAACAAGAAATGACTTGAGATTAGTGGGGCGTTAACTACTCATTTGGGTCGGCTGAAAAGGAGGATTCAGAAACTTATCAGTTCTTTGATCTAGCCTTTAATCATAGTTTCGAAATAACCATGTGGTTAGAAAATAATGTACGTGTTTAAATTTAGACCATGATCCCAGCATTAATTCTACACAACTAACCACTGATTAGAGCTAATCAAACATCCTACTAATTAGCTTTCTCTCTGAAAAGGTCTGTTGAGTTAACCTATTTGCTGTTGTTGTGCTGAGAAAGTCAAGAGATACCTTTCAAAAACATAAAAAGGCTCAAATTAGAATTACTCACCAGCTATCTATTTTTGATAAGGCTGCGTGTCAGAATGTAGCAAAACTGAAGATGAAGGTGACTAGACGAGTATGATTAGTCAGGACACTGGTAACACCATAACTAAAAAGACGTTTTCCAGTAACTAAGGTATAATCTTAACACAGTAACAACCGTAATGTAAACGTACGTTAAACAGCTTTAAGAACAATGTCTTGCAAACATACACTGAAGCACTAAATAATTTTATGAAGACAATCAACTTCAGTTAGGATATAGTTATTCTACGCTAAATTTTATAGAACATAAATCATCCAATCCAGCTTCAATTTCATCACCAGATTTCAGAGGCCCTACACCAGCAGGTGTACCGGTTAAAATTAGATCTCCATATTGTAGTGAGATTCTCTTGGTAATTATCGATATTAAATCTGCTGGTGTCCAGACCATCATATTCAGTTTTGATCGTTGTCGTTCCAACTGGTTTACTTTTAACCAAATCTCATTATCTACTTTTTGGAATTCCTGACGAGAAGTTAAAATACCGGCCGGTAGTGATTCCAATGGAAGAATTGGCCCCACAGGGCAAGCTGTGTCGAAGCATTTAGACAACGTCCATGGTAGTCCGCTTGCTTTTAGTTGATTCTGAAGTGGTCGATCAGTTAGATCTAACGCAACCACATAACCTAATATTGCTGAATAAACCTAAATAAAACAAACATTAAAATGTATACGAGGAAATTTAGCATTGAATGCAAAAATATGAAAGTGATTCATCTGTATATTCATTTGAGTTACAAAAGGTCAAGACAGCCATGTGACTGTTAGATGTACGAATTCAATCCTATTAATTATCTTGTGTGTGACTAGTTCGGAGCCTTTAGCTGTATACCGTACTAACACACCTTTTTGTGTCTAACTATCCTGACTTTTCTGAACAGTGGACGCTTAAAATACATTGCTTAGTGAGAACACCGTGGTTTACATTTTCGTTCAATATAATTCAGAGTGAATCCATCCGATAAAATTCTGGATTTATTTGTAACCTTACAATTCCGGACAGTTTCAACACTACACAACTATTGTACGTTTCAGCACGTGTCATTACAGTTCCAATATATTAAAGAGATGGTCTAATTCTAGTGATAGGCTAATAATTTATCTATTTCAGCATATTAATGCCAATCATTTTTATCAAAAGCTTATTCTGTTTATTAACTGCACCCTTGCTTTAACCATTAAAATGCATATTTAGCATTAACGCTACTCAAATGTTTACAGATGAGTTATTCTTACATATTTACATTCGCTACGCGAAACTTAAGGGATAAATACAGCGTTTCCCAACCTCCCTATTTTAGGGTTTTCCCAAAAGTTGTAAGAAACATGGTAGTTATCCTCAATGTTCGGGCAAAAACCAAGGCTTCCCCGGAACTTTTGGGATTTTCCCCAGACCTGGAAAAATTTTGAGGTTTTTGTACCATGTTTTCAAAGTTCTATTTGGCGGTTTCCCCACAATCTCCCCAAAACAGACAAAATTTCCCCCCAAAACAGGGAGGTTGGATTAAATTGAGTGGATCTTTTACTTCTTCTGCTTTGACATTTGTCAGTGATTTCCCAATTACCAAACCAAGTTCGACTTCATGATCGACTTCACTGGCCCCATTTGGTAACTACATATTAGCGATAAATGATTAAGGATTGCCACAAAAACTTTAATTTTTCCCTCTTCAATGATGCAACTAGAAGGCTTTAAAAATATAGCAGGCGAAGATCCAACTTTATTTCCCAATTCTTTTGCATGGTCTCTAAATATAGGTACTTAGTAACCACAATCGTACGCATAGTTTCGTCCAACTGCCACTACTTTTCGACAAATATCCTTCAGATTTTTTGACATTAGTTATACACAATATACTTCTTGTAATTTGGAAGATTCAAATTATCCTTGTTGAACAAAAAATAAGCTAATATAAAAGTACTTCAACCTACGAAGTCTTCATTACGCAAATGAAAAAGGAACGTTATTGTTAAAATGGGCGGTG